ATCATAAGGAATTTTTAAGATGTAGCTAGTATTTTTCTTCTTATAATGACAATAAATATTTTTATTATTTTATATAACAATTATTATAGTATGAGGTCTAGTCAGATACTGTTCATCTCCTGAATAATTGAGTTATATATTTTAAAGCTATAATTACCATACTATGGACTTTCACATTTTCCATACTTCCTGTACAATCAAACCAGCTTTGTTAATCAAGATACTTGCAGGTTGGCCCCATCAGCCATGCAGTCCCCAATTTCTTAGAGACAAAACCTAACTTCTAGCACAAATGGCTTATTGTGTTATAAAGAAAACTTAATCTTTCTCATGCTATTCCTCAAAATGATCTCCCTATTTGACGTGGTTTTTAATTTTCCTGCATATTTTTCAAAAAAATTCTAATCACAATAGATTGTAAATGGAAGAACAAAGCATGTTGTGAAAGGAATTAACATAATCTGGTATGCACTATTTGCCCAGAGAAAGGAATTTGGAAAGGAAATTTTATTTCATTTAATATTCTCAATAGCATTTCAATCAGTACAGCTTAATTATGGAAAAAATTTTAATATCAAATATTTTTGTCAATTACACCCCAGAAAAGTATAAAAAAATAATAATTTTAATATGGATACACAATATGCATTCCTTGGCATTCTTCCCTCACCATTTTCTACTCCCCAACATCTAACAATTTCATATTATAATTATAGTAAATATGAACAAAAATTCAACTTGTGCTCTGAACAGAGTGTAGAATTCACATAGTCTAACATATTTCTGGGTATGCTGGTCTTCATTCTGTAGAAGGATTTGAGGTTTTGTTTTGTTTTGTTTTTAAGGTCTCTGGATTTCCCTAGAAGTTATATGACACTGTTCTTCTCACCCTTGACAGTAATAGAAACAAATCTGGGTTTGTGAAAAAATTTTTCTGTTCAATTTAGTCACATCATTATGAGTTGCTTGTTTATTTATGTGAACTTAAGGATTGTATTAATTGTGATCTCAACCCCAAGCATAATATGCATGCTGTGTGTTTGTATTTTACACGTGAATTTGATATACTGAAAATGAAAATCTTCTACATGATTTTTTCATCTTTATTTCTTATACTTTCTTTACTACATAATGGTCAACCACAGATAAATCTATTTCTAGCCCTGTGATTCAAACATCAAAAAAGTCTTATCAAGTAGTTGCTTAATACTCTTTTTAATATTTTGGAAATCCTATCATTCAGAAGATTTGAGGTATAGACATTAGGCTAATTTAAAACCTTTTACTTAATAACTGCTTAGAACTTTGTGAATTTTATGGCCACCTGGCCTTGAAAAGTATGTCTGAGATTAAAACCTAGGGATAAATTATAAAGCACTATTTCTTCCACATGAGGGTTGATATGAAAGATGAAAGTAGAGACATTGCTAGAAGAAATCATATGTATAAACAGCACCAATGAAAACTCCCATGCTGAAGTCATTTTAAATTAGTCTATGCTTTTCTTTTATAAATTGCATGCCCCTGGAAATATCTCTTAATCATCTTGACTTCAGCTCTTCTTCTGAAAGTGGACGTAAAACTACTCCTGACCCTAAGCAAAAAGGATTGGTTTCCAGTCTATTTGGAGTCTATTACCTTCTTCTCAATGAGTGACAGTTTGCTTATTCCAGCTCCTCCTAGCAATTCTGAGAGGGTAACAAGAAATCCCTCACCCCCCAAAAAAATAGATGAGATATTTTTTTCTTTCACTGGGTTCTTCAAGGTGAGAAGCAAGAAGGAAGGAGACAGACTCAATAAATTTTTTCTGGGAGCCAAAGATGGAAGAGACATTTTCTCATATCCCACTGGACTGGCAAATGTGGATGTGGTCCTATTGGTGATGACTGGCTTGGCCAAAGGATCCCAGTGTTAGTACTGAGAAGACACAGTGAAATTGGCTATGAATAAAAGGGTGGTGATTAGTGTCTGGAGGTTGTTTCACCATTAACCAAAGTGGGAGCAGTGGTTTATGACCCACCCAAAGTCATTTTCTTTTAATTTATGTTATAGGTGAAAGGATGTAACAACCTCCAACTACCACAGAACACTATTTCACCTCAGTGTCTTAGGAGGCTAATTCTGTGACCTGCACTAAAGTATAAAGTACACCTGGAATGAAAAAAATAAATGGCTAAAAGAATGAACCTCATCTTCTTGATATTATTAGCAATGTCTGTCAAGATTATATTTGGGATAAAACTTATATTGTAAGATACCATGGATAATTAAGAAGCCAGGAAAAGGATTCTGAGTAACATTGTGTATACTCCATGAGCTGTCAACAGAGGCCTGCTGAGTAAATAAAAGAGAAACTTCTACTTGCTTATATTGGGGATATATAGGAGAAGTGCAGAGAACACTGGCAAATCTGGGATATAATCCTCAGTATGAAATTCACATAATAAGTGTGCCTTTCTTATGAGTTTTAAAATTAGTATTTTATACAGCCTTGAAATAAATGAATATACCTTCAGTTGGGCCTATAAAGAAAATTGAAAATTCTTGACATGCAGCGTGAGATGACAGAAGAAAATTCAGAGGTCTAGGGTGCATTTCTGCAGGTGTTCAATCAACAATGGAGAATCAACATGAATACATTGATAACTAAGCCGCTTAGTGTAAATAGGAAGTTTGGGTAACATCTAATTTTGTGTGTATGTTTTCATGTTTTTGATTTGTCAAAAAATAGTTTAGCAGTATAAAAATTAATTTGAGTAAAAATAATAGAGCTCGAGTCTATTAAATCCTCATCTGGACTCAGCAGTTCTGGCTTTCAAAGGATCTGTCATTTACAGCTTGCCCACTCTTCCATTTTGTGAGGTAAAGAATAATATGAGTAATCAAGTATCGTTTCATAAATGCTTGAGACACATTCTTGTTACTTTTGAATATTATTACCTCTAAGAAGATTTTTTGAAAGAAAGATGCAAATTTTGTGATTGAGAGTGCTTTTATATTCTTGCTCAATCAGCAGTATTGCTGTCGGCAGTGCTCTGGAGTTCATAAATTTACTGAACTTCTGCAGTGCAACACAGCTGGTTGGTTATTCTGGCTTGCTCAAATTACACATTTTATAACTTTAATAATTATCAAATTCTCCATTTCCTATGAATCTTCTAGTAGGATGTTCACTGAGTATCTGAAGGTGTACAGTGGGTTTTCGAAGCAGTCCTATTTCTGATATCATTATCATGATGGAAATTAAAAATATTCCAGTGATAATTTTGAATTTAGAGGAGAAGTAAAATAATCTATTATATGATAGTGCATATATACATATAAATTGAAAAGATAGTAATCTTTAATCTATAACAATGTTTTTTCTTTTTTTCCTTTCACCCTAGATCACATAGAATTGCTTAACAGGGTGAGGTGAAAGAGATTAGTTATTATCGATAAATGTTTCAGGAGTAATAACATGTACTAATTGAGAGATAAGGAAGGATAAACAAAGCAGTATGAATAGTAGAATGCATGTTTTTAATTAAAATTTAAGGTGTTTGAGAATTTATTTAAGGCACCAAAATGCACAACCAAGAGGAATATTAGAAACTTTCATAGTGGAGTCAAACCTACAAACGTGCTGAAACAATAAAACCATTGAAGACTGTTCCCTTGAAAGGCTGATAAAGAATAAGAAGTAGAAGTTCTATGTTTTAGAGTGTATGTATGTTGGTGTGTGTGTGTGTGTTCTCACAAAGGTATAGATTGAATCTATTCAAATGGCTTTTATCAAAACAGTGATTCTTGGGCCAGGGATTTAGCTCAGTGATTCCACTCCTGCCTCCCAAGCACACAAGCGCCAGAGTTCGATTCCCGGTACCAAAAAAACACACAAAAAAACAGTGATTCTTATTTGTTAAAAATCTAATTTTCATGCATGACCCGATTAAAATCTGCTTTTACACATGCTAAATATAATGTTTTTTGAAAAGCTGTTTCTTAAGCTAAATATCCAAAAGTTAATGTTATGGAGTCAAAGCATCATAAATTAAGGATGAATTCAAGGTGCTTTACAACATTGTTTTATGAGTAAAGACGGTATCATGTTACAAAAGTAAAATCAAATCCAAGCTCTTTTCAAGGCCCTAAGGCTCCAGTGGGAGATTTGGGAGATTACAATCTCCTATCCTATTTTCTCTTTATATATGCATTCCTTAAAGACGGAGATGGCTTAACAAAGACAGCAGGTACCTTGAGAATGTCAAAAGGACCAGAAAGGCTGCAATTTGACCCAATAGTAAGGGCTTTTTCATATTAGTTAATATCTCAGAAAGGCATATTAATTAGAACATCTTTATTTTTCTTACATACTTCATCATTTAGTCCCAAAGAAAGCAATTGCAAGTATGTTTGTGCAAAATGCTGTAAGCAATTGTACTGTCTCCCTAACCTTAGAATATACAAAAGCCAAATTACTTCTATAGGTATGTGTATAAAGTTGTTGAAAAGACTTGAACATGCCTAGCAGTGCAGATTGGAGGAATGTCGAGTCAAATGTGTTTTACTTATAGAACAGCAGATGATTTAGATTGACTCTCACATGGCAACGGAGTCCTTGTGAATTTACATCATGTGGTTTTATAAAGGTAACTGCAAGAATTTTTTTTTTTTTTGTACCAGGGATTAAACTCTGGACCTTTCACTTGCAAGGCAGGTGGTGGAACCACTGAACTAATTCCCTGACTCCTTTTTTGTAAGAATGTTCTTAAATGACAGGTTGAATATAAGTGGTCAGATCAACCATGTATGTGGAGTACATATCTTTGCTGAAAGCATATACTCCTTAATGTATAATGACTTATTGAAAATATAGTTTACCAAGTGGATTATTCTTAGAATTTTTCAACTGGTCAAATAACATATTTGTTCCTCACTCTTCCTTTCCATACATACCATCTATGAGTGGGTATTTCATATTTATTTTTCATATCTCCCTTGATGTTTTTCCTCTACAGGTGTAATCTAGCTCCTGTGGTGGAGTTTTCTGCAGATGTGGGAACTAAATCAGATTTTATCACCATGAATCCATCAGTTGTGCAAAGAGCATTTGGAGGCTTTCGGAATGAGAGTGACAGAGAAAAATTTGTGCATAGACTTTCTATGCTGAATGACAGTGTCCTTTGGATCCCTGCTTTCATGGTTAAAGGAGGAGAGAAGCACGTGGAATGGGTTAATGCATTAATCCTTAAGAATAAACTGAAAGTGCAAACTGCCTACCCATCACTGAGGCTCATTCATGCCGTCAGAGGGTAAGTGACTGGAATTCAACACATAACCAAACACTTTCCCTAGACAGACAGGAGCCTCGTTGTAACACCCAGATACCTATGATTCCATGTTGAATAATGGTTACCCTTCTCATGGCCATTTTTGTACAGTTTTGTTTGTACTCTTACTATTTTAAATCATCTTCTTTCTTGAAAAACAAAACTGTTGAACTCTGCATTTGTTTTTGTCTGCACGTGAACAAACTACTGATCTTCATTTCCTGTGATAAAGAGTAATGAGAATGCATGGTAAAAATAATGAGTTTAGAATAACAAAGACTATGACAGAAGTGCTAAATGGCTAGGGGGCAATGTTACAGAAGTGTACAAGTTATATGTATTTAGGAGTTATTAAGTCCCGTCTGTATGTAAGAGTCCTAAAAGTATGATAGAAGGTTGGCTGAGATAATACCTTAAATTACAGATGTGATTATTATGAATTAAGTCAACATTTCCATTTCTTAAACATAACCTTAAGAGAAAAAATGTAGTTAAAAATGCTTTAATTAGAAGAGACTAATGAATCAAAGTCCAAATCCAGTAATACAGAGTTGTGTGAAAATAGATAACTCACATATAAACAATTATGTGTATTTACTAAAAGTATACTCAGTGCCACAAACTTTCCATAGAAAAATGATTAAGATTTGATTACTATCCTTAGAATGCACAAGCTTTATGTAGAGAAAGTGGCCTACACTACTTTTGCAACACATTATATTTTGTCAGGAGTTTATTTTCTCAATTCATTAGCAAAACCAAAATGTAAAATATGAACAAGATTGAAATAATGGATTTTCAGTGTGTTAGCATTCATTTAGAATTATATAAAGTTAACAGTGGTGAACCCTCATGGGCTCTTCCGGAAGTTTGTAAATGAGGTCTCACTGTGTTGCTCAAGGAGGGCCTGAGCTCACCCAACACTCATGCCTCGGCCTCTTGAGTCAGGAGACAGGCACCACTATTCCTGCCTCAGATAGCTTAAAACATAAGAATTGCAAATGCTTTAAGTAATTTATCCTTGCTCTTCTTCTGTTTCCTGTTATTCACTTTCTTCTATAGTTGTTTAGATAGAAGCTATTTCATTAACTCTTAGATGTTACAGTCCCCAAAGCCCAATAAGAATAAACTTCTGACTATTATTAAAGCAAATGATATGTTTTATTTTAACTGCTGTGTTTTAGTAATGTTAACTGGACTGATTTTGAGCTTTCCAGAAAGAACACGTCTCACTATCTTCCTATTCATATATCTTCATATTCCTCCCCTTAAGTCAAGGGATTGAATTCTAAGGCATTGCCCAGCATGTGAAAGTAGCTCTAGTGTCACCTTTCACTTCAAATGAGATGGAAATTTGTACACACGGTGTGCCTGAAAGGCTATTTTATTTATGGAACTTTTGAAACTAATACATTGATGCATGCAATATTCTTTTTTCAACATAAAGTATCCTGAGATAGAATAGGAAGTGTGAATACTGATAAGGAAGATTTATATGAAATGAAAGCAAAGGCAAACTCCCCAGAGACCTATTGTTTAAGTGACTGTTTTATATCACTTTTGATTTATCTCTCTAAAACTCTGTGGTTAATGCAGTGTGGCAAAATAGTTTCAATCCTCTGTTGATTACTGAAGTTTGTTAACTCTCATAAAAGCTTAGAGCACCCATAAATGCATTTTAGGGTGGGGATAATCACAATGCTAAAAGATGCAGTCCATCCCAAGTACTGCAGTCACAAACTCACAGTGTAGTTGTTCTATTTTGTCACTACATTGTAAGAATGAATTTTTAATAGGATGGTAGCTAGCTGACACTGACGTGGTAAGCTGCTGTTTTTTGTGACACAGGATAAACACTTGACCTGAAAACTCACACGCGATTATTATTAATAAAAGTAAATGATGCTATGTGATGCCAGCACCATAGAAAGAAATTTTAAAGATTCCTGACATTTCTATATTGAACATCTTCACCATGTTATTTGGGGGGGGACCAGGGATCAAACTTGGGACTTTCTGCTTGCAAAACAGGTGGTGGAACCACTGAACTAAATCCCTGGCCCACCAACCTGATTGTTAAGAGAATAAAACTTCAGTTCATATAGGTCCTTAACATTTTTACAAAATGAGAGTGGCTTTTTATTTTTTTCTTTAGCTTTTTGTGGACAAACTTTTACCTTCATATTTGAAAATCTCAGAGTCTTTTTAAGTTAAATCAAAGGACTATTATACATATGATATATATTAATATATATGCTTTCTGTGCTTATATATATGAGTGTGCATATATATATATATATATATATATATACACACAAACAAATATATATAGAGAGAATATTCATGGAGGTTAGAATGTATACATAATATGTAGGTACAGAATTTATATATATGTGTGTCTATGTTTATTTTTCATATATATGACAATTAAACTACATAATCCTAGAATAGATTTTGCACAATTCATGCTTATTTAAAAAAGATATGTATTTTACAAAAAGTTTATAACTATAAATATCCATAAAAAAGCAAATTCATTATCAAAACTATCTATAGTTTTACAATATTCACTTATGTATATAAGCACTTATGCATACTTGTCAAAAAGATATATTCATACGAAGGTTGGTTAATATAATTATGGTGAAGTATGTGAAAATTATTTAACTTCCAAGAGAAATCTACTCTGATGTAGGAATATTTCAGTAAGCTGTTTATATCAGCATTATTAAAATTTAAGTGAACTAATTTGGGAAGTTATAGGGTTAGTATTCCTGAAGATGTTTAAGAAAATTAAACACAAACATTTTTTGACCATTCAAATATTACCTGTGTAAGATTTAGAATATAGAATCAACAAAACTCGAAGCCCAGTTGAATCATAAAAGTTTTATGACCAAAACTGAGACCAAAGATAATCTAAATAATCTTTTATTCGCTTTCAGTTATAATATCCAAGATCAGAAGGGAGAGGTTATTTCAAACTTTCTTGAAAATAATATTATTAAACAATCTGGAAAATTTCCCTATGCTGAAGCTCTTAGTTTGCAAGCCTCATACAATGCTTTTAAAGACAATAACTTTCAGAACTTTCTCAGAACTTTCACAACGTATATTTGAACTCCAATTCAAGCAACAATGCTGTAGACTATTAGATGGTCCACAGATTTCAAATAAAAAATTTTCATTGAAATGACATCTTAAGACAGTAAAATAGATAGTTGCTTATTGTATAATACTAACATTTTATATATTTTCACAAAGTCTGTAATATATGCTATGTATATAAGTGTATAATAGTCTCACAGTGTATATGTACATTATGGGATTCATTTTGCTTGTTACACATTTTGTAAATCAAACATATGCCAATAATTTGTTGGTGTTCCATATAATGAAGACACATTGCTGACTTCTATTCAACCTTCAGTCTCTTGGAGTTTTCAAATATTAATTTTAGCATACTTGGTAGACAGAAAAAATTCCCTAGTTTAAAATTAAGTGGTTAGTACTATTATGCTATATTGAATTTGTTTGTAGTAATTTCATTTTCTTTTGAGCACATAGAAATTTCTTGCATTATTGCTTTATGTAATGAAATCTTGAATTATTTTTCTGACTCAGATTATAAACTAATAATCTCTTTCATGTCTATATTTTATGGGTCTCATCCTTACTTCATCACTTTAAAATAATTACACTTGACAATTTAATTCATTTAACATATCTTCTGAATGTTCCAGGGTTTTGCTGGATTATTGTGTTTTTTAAAATCACACCATTTCTAAAATAGTAGTATTATATATGAGTATGATATGTCATAATGGTCAAAACTCTAATTTCTACTTGAACTCAGGAGGAAAAAGTCATTCTTGCAGAAATCAAATCAAGTGACTTTTCTAGTTGCTCTCTCATTTGGATAACTGTCACTGAGTTGCAAAATACTTGGTGAAACATTGTTTGTTACTAAATGAAAGGAAAGAGGCCAGCCACGTTATGGCCTGTTTATAGTTCCAGTTACTCAGGAGCCTTGCAGGATGACCATATGAGCCCAGGATGTTTTTTTTCCCCATTGTTCATTGGTACATTCAAAGCAAACAATACAGTTACATTTATCATTGGGTTCATGTACCTTTGCGTGATATATCTTGATTCTTGCTTTTTCCCCATATCCCTGCCCTCCCTTCACACCCTTCACCCTACCCTATTTACAAGGATATTGTTTCTAGTTTTCATTTTTTTCACATTTTTTCTTTTGCTTTATTTCCTTTCCCAGGAATTTGAGAACAGCCTGGGGAAGATAGGAATAGCCTGTCTCAAAACAAAAGAAAGCAAAACAAGAAAGAGAAAGAGAGAGAGAAAAGAAACATTTTATTTGTCTTTCTAGAAAGTGATTTTTAACAAATAGATTATGTTTTCGGTGTCTTTCCGCATGGACTTCTTTTTTTCAGTTTTAAGTTTAACTCAAAAATAGCATATCTCTTGTTTCAGTTATTGAATTCACCTTGCAGATGTGAAAACCCGTTTATTTTAGATGTGTATACCTATGAAAAGCTACATGAAATTAAGATGTTCCTCTCTAGATTAAACTTCATGTGAATGTCATAGACTTGTAGAAGAATTTAATTCAAAACAGACTGCCAGTCAAGTCACTAGTAAAAACATACAGTCAAGTACATACATTATTACTAGACTTCAGGAAACTAAGTTCAGCACAGTCAGTGGATTGTTTGGGAGTGCTGAATCAACTGAAAGTCATACACGGAAAAGAAATTTTATAATAAATAACTTTGAGAATGGAAATGTTCAGGCTAAGTACTTTCTGAAATTGGCTTACTTGTTTTAAATTTAGTCTTATACTAAAAGTGTTTTCATATGGTTTCTATTTTGACCTGTGATCAACACAGCTGTAATATTTCTTTATAAAACACATGTCTTAGTTTAATGTTGTAGAGTAGCTCATACTGCATAGTAGGCATTTT